TACAGTAACTAGTTTGGGTTACACAAAGTATTCAATAGCTACAGTCGCTCTAGTTACCTATTATCTTTAAAGAAGTGAATATAGGATAACACTAATTTAGAGAAAAATAGAAGTAGAGACTAATTTGTCTAGTCAGTATATAAGTTTTTTAAGCCACCCACAGGCTTATAACCAGCATTAAGATAGCAAATTTTCTGTTTTGTTTTTGTTTTTTTTGATATTCCTTTAACTTTTTTTTTCATATTTTGTATTCTTTTACCATAGTCTTCTATACCTCTGTGTTTTTTTTTAGTTTGTTTGTTTTATTTTCTAATTTTACTTCTTAATAAGCAGGTAGCTGCCAGCCGATAAACAATAGTAAAAAGTCCTTAGTGAGTTAAGGATCCTGAGAGAGGCCAAAAGCTACTGAGACATGTCACATCTGGTGTATAAAATCACGTGGACGAGTTCTTTGTTTGGTTGGATTTATTTTAGTTAAAAATAAATTCTTGTAATTTTGAATAACTTGATCCCAAATTAACAAAGGCAGGATAGCTGAATTAGAAAAAAAAAATATATTAACATTACCAGAATTATAAAATTTAAAAATATTTGCAGTTTCATTTTTAGTCATTATATCATTTTGAGTTTTATCTTGAAGTATTTGAATTAGTAAATAAAATAGCCTAGCTAATTTTAATTAAATTTCTTTTCTATTATTTTTGAGTTGTTTTTTTAATTTAATTATTTTTTTTGTGTTGAAATCTGAGATTCTTTCTTATAGGCTAAGATTTAAAGCTCATTACAAAATAAGATTTGAGATTTTTTATTGGTTAAGACTTGAGATTCTTTATTAATTAAGACTTTAAGTTTATTATTAGTTAAAGCTTAAAATTTTTTAGTTGGAGCTTGAAGTTCTTGAATTGTTTTTTTTTTAACTTATACAGATTCAAGTTTTAAATTTTGGTAGCATTTCTGTGAGATATCAGTAAGATATTAGATGCTAATTTATCTGAAAGCTTACCGATATTTGGTGCATATCTTCTCCTATTGGCAGAATATCAGCTTCCAATAGGCTATCATATATATAATATTTTTAAATAAAGTATTATATATCTGATAGGCCTATTGGAAGCCAATATTCTGCTGATAGGTGAAGATATACGCCAAATATCAGTAAGCTTTCAGATAAATTGGCATCTAATATCTCACTGATATCTTACAGAAATGTTACTGAAATTTAAAACTTAGACCTGTGTTAGCCTCTTTAAAACTAGAGTTTTATTTAAATATTGTTAAGTGGAAGCTTATAGCTATAACCTCAAAGGAATCCTGTACATTAGAGAGTATATTCTAGCTATACTTGCACCTTTTGAGCACTTAATTTAAGTAGTCTACCTATTACTAGGTTCTACACTAGATGCTATATTTATTACCCACTATTATTTTAGTTATCTAATTAAACCTTCTGTAATGCAACTATATCTGTATCATCATTACATCTCCAATATATTTGTTAGTCAAGAAGTTATAGATACTTGGCCCATACTCTTAGGATTAATTTATCCTAAAATATTGTTATTAGAGCTTTCTATATTTACAATCTGGCTAACCTAAACTTTCAGTAATTGATACCAAGTCTGAGAACAAGTACTTGTAAGCCAAAGCTGCTACTATTATTTACTCCTATTCTTATAGAGTTCATCCAAATTTAGCACCCACTATATGAACTATTTATCATACTCTGGTTTTATCAAACTTCTAATTTAGATGACCTGGAGAGCTGTGACCTGCTTCTGGTACTCACAGTTAGATCTTTTTTCTTCAGTTCTCTGGCAGCCTAGTTGGTAGAGTGCTGCTAAATACTTCAGTCCTGTTCAGTTCTTTAAATAATAATCCTTTATATTGCCAATGTAATATTTCTTTGCTGTAAATATCAATTCGAACCTTTTGAATATTTTTGCTAACTTTACAAACACATCTATGTATTCTTCTAAATTATTATTAATCCAGATGTCTACATCTGCTGTGGCTATATATTTTCATTTATTCTCTTTTAAAACTAGGTTCATTAAACTCTGAAAGGTTTTACTAGCATTTTTTAATCTCATGCACATTACAGTATATTGTAAAACCCCCAATGTCATTGACACAGCCAGCTTATCTCAGTCTTTTTCACATATTCAAATTTGCCAATATCTCTTGAAGGCGGCAATGCTTAAATACTATTTGTGGCCTGCAACCTTTTCTAATATATCTCTGATAATTGGAAGTAGATAAACTATCCTTTATTATGTGCTTATTCAATGGTTTTATATTGCTACAGCTTGTATTCTTTTTTATCTACTAGAAAGCAATTGTAGGCATAGGATCTATTTTCTTCTTTTAGTAAACTATATTGGATCATTTTCTTTAAATGGTCTTCAAATAATAGCGCCTTTTCTAAATTATTTATTCTTACTAGTCTTAATCTTATATGCAGCACTTCTATATCATCTGTCCTCACCTTGTATTTCATTAAATCAGTTTAATCTAATGTTGATAATTTGAAGGTGAATGTCATTGATATCTCATTTATCAACTGATCCATAATATATTGCTTTTCTTTTGGTGAAAGATTAGGTCTAAAATTTAATAAGTGAATATTTTTCTATATCAATCTTTGTAATAATATCAGCTTTGTCTATTCAAATTATCTTTAACTTTTTGTAATTGCAAATCACATGCTTTATTCCATTTTTTTGGTCTTCTTTTTCTTCATTCTTTGTCAGCTTTGCCAGCTATGATCGATTATTTAGAACCTTCTTATAGCAGTTACTTGATTTATCTCATCATCTTTGTTATTATATTCATCTGATTCATTATCTTTATTTTCATTCTTTTCAACCCAGTTCTGTAGTATAACTGAATCAATAAAGATAATTGTTATCTGATGATGAAATTAAACACTAGTATTTGTTTTTATTTTAGTAAAGATTATATTGCGCAGAGCCAACCATGGCATTTCTAAGAAAACATTAAAACTTGCAAACTCTATTATATAAAATCATTAATTTGTCACCACGCCTTCCATTTTCACCTTGACTTGAGGTATATAACTTATGAATTTACTTATTCTATTGTTAGCTATTCTCCCTTTTTCATAAGCATATTTTCAGGTCAACACTCTTTTCTTTGCATAATTTATGTACATCAGATCCAGGCAAGATCTGGTATCAATTAGTATATCAACAAGATCTCCATTTATCAACACAGGCCAAATAGGTACTATTTTATTCATAGTTTCTTGCATTTTATTTCTTTTAATTAACTGCAACTTTACATCAACATTAGTTATATTAATCTTCTTCTTTTTGCATGTTAATGCTTTCATTATTTTACTTCTTGACTTGAGCTACCATTTAATTAACTGCCCAAGTGAAATAGTAAGTTTGAAGCCAGCTATGGCCTTTATAATATTAAGATTCTCTGCCATTTTAGGTATTGGTATATACATCATTAATTTTTAACACTTTTGTTTTGATTAAATGATGTCACTATTTCACTTCACTTTGGCTTCAATGTTTTACAGATTCTTCCTTTTTTGTTTGCTATATCACTACTTATATCATCTTGCTTTCTTTTACCTAAATTCCTAACCTCAGCCAGATCTATATTCTTGTTATTTACCAGTTCAATCATTAGGTAATTGTCATCATTATTAAACACTTTATTGGTGAAATTTACATGGCATATATTAGATCCTTTTTAATAATCATTCTCTTTATTTACAATTCGATTTCTTGAGGTCTTTTCAGACAATCATATGAAATGTGACTGTCTTTTTAATTTGTGTAGCATTGTCAAAGTATAGTATTTCATTCATTATGTTGTTAGCTACTTTGTTTGTAAGATCTTTCATTATTTTTGTTAATTTTTTTATTATATTTTTAATTTCTTATATGTCATTATCAGGCTTCTTCTTAACTCATAATATTTTTAAAGCTTCTATAGCACTTGTTAACTCATCAATACCAAATTTGGTGCTATTATATGCTTCTTCTATCAAAGTTTTGTTCACCTTTTGCATATTGAAATCATTATCTTTATTATACCTTTCAATTTTCATAGTCAGATTCCTTGCTTCACTGTAATCAGCTGGAAAATATTTTTTAACTTTTGATTAGTACTCCAGTTTTAATTCATTTATGAACTATTTTTTTTCTCTCTATTTAATACTTCATCCTTAATTATGTGAGCATAGGATTCGAATCTATTAGAATATCTGATTAGTGCCTTATTTTCATCTTGTCTAATTTTCATTAACCTTGTAATTTTCTCTTCAGTGTGATACTTCATTCTTGCAGATTTTTCTATATTGGCTTTCAAATTGGCCCAAGGATTAGAAGGCTTCATCAACCTACACATCTACACTCTTATCCTTTCTGAAACATGAAGACTAACCACCTTCTATTTTTTATCATCATTTTAGTTTTTCAACTTTGTATATATTTCAAAATCAAAGAAAAAATCTTCGATATCTTCATTTTCACATTCATTATAGAACAGTTTAGTAGAATCTTGCTATAATATCATTGATTACTTTTTTAAAAGGTTTGTATTTTCTTTATATTATTTATACAATATGTATGTGATTATAACCTTATCGGCTTGTATAAATTAATTTAATTTTGTATTTTATTTTACAATGCTTATTTGATTTTTCTTGCTTTGTCAATTCTATGCCTGCTTTTGATTGTTTTATTTAACGTTTCCTATATGTATCATTACAATTATGAATTATTTTTTTCTAACACAGTACGAATTCAGGTTTTGCTTCTTTTGTTTAATCCTTTACATTTGATTATCTATTTATTTGTTTGTACTGTTTATTACTTGCTTTCGTAAGTTCATTGTCTCTTCTTTTTATTAGAACAATTTTCTCAGTTTTTGATATGGTAAGTTCTTTTTATTATTGTTGTAGTAATTCGTTTCTTCATTTATATTGTTTTGTAATTTCATTAATTATTATTTCTTAAACTTAGCTTGTTATTATAAGGGCACTTTTATTTACCTAGGTTCTTCTTTATTACATAGTTAGACAGTAACTGTGATTATTGTTATCTTGCTCAAACAGTATTTAACTTTATAGTCTCACTTGGCTTTTGATACACCTTCTCACCAACACTTCACAGGCAAGTATAACATACACTTTATTTCATTATTATTATTGTTAACCAGTCAAAAGTCTCTCTTTCACTTTTTATTTATTTTTTCTATTTATATTAATTTTTATTTTACTATTTTGTACAATACTGATTATTAATATACTATGACTCACTGCCTTATACTTTACATTGCATTTCAATAAACAATTAAATTTTACTAATTTAATTATCATTGACTCATAATCGATAATCATGGTACTTCACATATCCAACCTTCGTAATGCTGCCCAACATTTCCACATTGATCATAATTCTGGTTGATCCCATTATCACGTGATATGTTCATTTCATGCAATCTTCTCCAGTATCCGCCAGGTCTACGGACACATACCTGATCACGTGATATTACACATACCTGATCATCACGTGATATATAACATACATATATAAGTTATTGAAATAAGATTTTCTTTATTTTAAAAACAAATTTCTCCACAACTATCTGATAGGATTTAATAAAAAATTTTTTAAATTATTTCTATGAATTAGTAGAATTCATTTAAAAAAAATTTCATCAAATTCTGTTGAATAGTTGTTGTGAAATTTTCACTCAAAGTTTAGGAAGATTCGTTGTCTCCTTAAAAAATAACTGTAGATAAATTTTTTCAAACTTTGAGTGAAAAGTTCTCGACAACTATCTGATAGAATTCGATAGAATCTATTTAAAATAATTCTAGAAAGTTAAAAGAATTCATTTAAAAAAATTTTCATCGAATTCTACTGGATAGGTGTTGAGAAATTTTTTTCAAAGTTTAAGAAAATTTTTGCCACCTCTAAAGAAATTCGTCATGGTAGAACTTTAATTTGAATGAAAATTTCTTGACAACTACCTGGCAGAATTCGAGGAAAATTTTTTTTAATAAATTCTGCTAGTTTATAGAATTTATTTTAAAAAAATTCTATTAAATTCTATCAGATAGTTGTCGAAAATTTTTCACTCAAAGTTTGAAAAAAGTTCTGCTGTGCCGATTTTCTTTAAAGGCCGCAGAAATTTTCTCAAATTTTAAATGAAAATTTCTCAACATCTATCCGGCAGAATTCGATGAAATCTTTTTTAAATGAATTCTACTAATTAGTAGAATTGATTTAAAAAAAATTTTATCGAGTTCTATCAGATAGTTGTGGAGAAAATTTGTCAAAAATCATATCTCAATAGCTTACGTACGTAATACATCACGTGATGATCAGGTACGTGCAATATCACGTGATCAGGTACGTGTCCGTAGACCTGGCGGTTATTTCATGCAATACAGCAATAGGTGAATCTGTGCCCGGTTAGCATGATTATGCATGATCTACAAATCAGATTTGAGAATCAGGTGTAACGTAGCACAATCAAAACAAACGTTCGTTTTGCCAAAAATCGCTTCTTTCTCAAAAATCTGTATAGTAAACCACCTTTAGTGCACTAACAAAAAGTTTTCCTTGTGCGATTTTACTATATAACCACTTAGCTTTTAACTTTATATGAAACGCTAACCTTATCATTAATAAACTTTAAAGAATTTTACATGATGATCGGCAACATGCATAACCAGACACAGATTCACTTATTGCGTATGACTTTTACTAACATGGAAAATGGTCATTATAAGTTCAGATTGAACAAACCAAATAAGCTGTTGACCATTTATTTTACAAATGAAACCAGTTCATGCCCTTTTACTATTTAAGTTAACAAGCGCAATGGTCGGTTCTACCACAAAATCCCCACACCCAAAATCTCGAAAACCATAATCCCGACGTGACAATTAGTATTTAACGATTAGTAATCACATTAACAATCATTGTTAGACTTTAACTTTTTAATTGATACATCATGTGATGCCAGTATTGTTGTCTGTCAGAATTTTGGATGTCGGGATTTTGTGGTAAAACCGCAATGATCACATTCATATAGTAAGGTTGATTCCTCATGATCTAACTTGTCCAACTTCTATTGAAGCATCCAAAGCACGTGGACATATCTTGTAAAGTTTACTCCGCTATTAGTTAAAGATATAACAGTACTTCGACCTCGTGATATTATAAATCGTGTTCATTCTGAAGTGGGAGCCAAGACATCATACCTGATAGCTTGGAGAAGTAAAGCTATTAGGCCACAAAAAGTTAAATTTTCGTTTTGTATTACATGGTTTTCAAAATCCGGTCTGTCGGTCAGATTTTTTTTAATTCTGAATAATGAGGCGAGACCAACCTGATTCAGTGTTTTACATTATCTCCCTTCCGGAAGAGAGGGAGGAAAGAAGTTGTGGTTATATAGTAAAATTTTTTTAAAAAATATTCTTTTAAACAAATTTTTCCCGAATTGTTCCGTGACTATATAAAATTTTTCTGAAATAGCCCGTAGGCCTTTATATATTTATTTAAATTTTTTTTTAAGAGGGGAACGCTGAGGGATAACGTAAACACAGAATCAAGTTGGTCTCGACTAAAAATCTATTTAATCACGAAATGAGGCAAACATCATGATATCCTTACGTTTAAATCGGCTTGAAAATTTTAACAGTATATTTGGACCCTTATTTGTAATAATTTTCAAATATCAGGACTTTATCATTTTGGGTTCTTATTTGTAATTATTTTCGTTTTGAACTCTTATCTGTAAATTCACCCTTTTTATTATACATGCTATATAGAAATCCTTAAATAATTAAAGTATATGAAGAGTAATAACTAACTATACAATTTAATAATATTATTCTTAGAAAACTTTTAAGACATAATAAGAAATTTATATATATGCATGATATATTAGAATAATAGTTGCGTAATATAAAATAGCATAGTGCAAGATGTTAGAGATTTAATTAGGCGTAGAATTAAATGTAGAATATGTAGAATTAAACGTAGAATTTGGCAAAACATAGATTAAAATATATAAATTAATTGAAAATCAATTCAATTAATAAATACATGCCTACTCAACAACACATTTGGCGACACTTATCTTGAATTGTTATCAATTGTGTGACGATCGGATGACACAGGTAAATATTTCCTAATTTGGGACAGTCTCCCTAAAAGATAAGTACAACAAAATTTGAAGTTGAATTTGATTGGATAAATTCGTGATTGTTTTGATTTGATCAACATATAACGCGTTCCAAATTAATGCATAGTTATTGTTACACAACCTACCTAACTATTATAAATATGCACAAGCCTTTTTTTTTAGTAAACAATAGGTTTATTTTTGGTTTTTTTTGAAAATGTTAGATAAATCTGTTAGAACACCTTTATAATACCGCTTGGTTAGCAGAGCAACAGAAACAACCCATAGTTTTTTTAATAGTTTTACCGTTTTTTCGATGTAATGAAAAAAATTTAAAGCAAAAAATTTTTTTAATAGCCTCTATGCTTTTAAGTATAGCTATTAAGGAAACTTATTTTGAAAGTCAAAACTAGTTTTTGACGTTCATTGGTTAAATTGTATGATGATGAACAAAAAGTTTTCTTTACAAAAACCTCTAG